ATATCTTATTTTGAAGTAAAAAAACAAAATGGGAACAAATACAATATTTGTATTTGCATGTGGCCCGCGGGCCGTAGTTTGAAGACCCCTGGCCTAGATGAACTTGGGTTTCATAGATTGGTTTTGATCTTCAGGATCGCATACTCAGCAGCTCCAATGTTGAAATAGAGAGATGGGACTGTGGAAATGAGATTTTGGCTCAAGAGTTTAATGGAGATGGGTTTGAAGGAAATACGGTCTGGAGAGAACTGTTAGGCTTGGAAAAAACTGGGGAGAAACTGGGCTGAAAAGAATGCATCAGAGGGGGATTTCAGGGATGAAATTGGCCAGGGTGATGATCATGTACAAGGTGTGGTTGGGTAGGGTCTGCTGAAGAGGGGCGTGAAGGTAAAGATCACTAGAATTGTGCAGCCAGGAGACATGGGGTGGATTCCCCATGTGGATGCTGAAACCCCTGCAGTGGGAGGAGAGGAGGGAAGGAAGACTGCAATGCTCTTTGGGCATATTTTATGAGACACGCCACTAGTGGGAGTGGATTCAGTCAACTCATTCAGGAGAGGAAGGAGGGAGAGTTAGAGCAGGAGCAAGGGGCATGCCACAAAATACAGCACCGGTGAAACAGGAAAATCCCACTCAGAATGGAAAATACTGAGGAAGAAGTGGCAGAAATTCCTAGTGATGAAAGTTTTGTGTATCCTTCTGCAAACCTGGAGATGCATTTTCTTAGCTTAGGGGTAAAAACTCTAGAATTTGGAAATTTTGTTGCCGGTAACCGCCGAGGAAGGCCAAGGAAGAGATTGTCTCTTATCAATTTTGTCATCAATGGTAGGGTTTACAGATAAGTGTCATTAGCAATGCCCTGTGTCTGAGAACTTCCTGTTTGAATTAATTGTTCTTGGTTGCTAGGAGCTACATTTTAAAAATCATTAAGAAAACACCCCCCTCCTCCCCCAGTGAGCTCAAATTGATACCTTGAGACAAAGCCCCATTTACCTGGCATTAGATTTCTGCTCAGCCTGGAAGGGTCCCTGACTTCCCGCATTTGGCCTTCTCCTACCTTCCCCCAGATCCTAGAGAGCTCCTTGTATCCTAATAGTGAGCAATACTGATTAGGCGCCTTATCCGATGGCAAAAGGACTACGCCCTGTGTCAGGAGGGGCCCTATCAGACCCAAGGTGGAACTCCATCCGGTGGCTGTCTTTTTCAGAATTTCCCGTGAGGGGAGAGAGATGCCCCTGGACATGGAAACATGGGTGCTGGAGTCCTCCTAGAACCCTCCTTTTCCAGAGAACATTATCTCCAAAAATGGAGACTCTGCACTCCCAACAGAGAGAGATAGAGCCGCCCAAAGACCTCCAGAGAGAGAATTCCTGTTCCCCCAATCCACAGCCAGGGGAGCATACACCTTCTGCAGCCAGGCGCTTGTGGGAAGACAGGAGTCAGTCTCCCTTAGGAATTCATTACTAAGGGCTGAGACATACATGTTCGCAGCGGAAGGGAGGCCTTCCCCTTCCCAAGTGGGCTCTACATCCTGTTCCCCTAACACCACTCAGGAGCGTCCCCAAAGGGGAAGACGGAGTTCTCGTGCCCCCCACCCCTCCCTGGGCTGTCCCCCTGCTGTGTCATTGGGTGGGTTGCCAACTAACAGGTCCTAAGACTATGTGGGGCAGATGGACTCTTTTTCCCTGAGGGAGTCCTGGGTCCAGCTATATATAGTGAGGCCCCGCACACCCTCTCTCATTACTCATTTAGTTTGGCCCGGGTTTAAAGCATGAACAATCTCTTCCAGGCACTCCCTGTTTTCACTTCCCTCTGACCAGAGGGCCCCTCCTCTGTCTGACCTGTGGGGGTCAACATCCTTTCTAGTTGGCCCACCCCACTTCCTCCCTCAGGCTGCGCTCCAGGCTTGTTTTCCAGCTCCAGGGGTTTCTGGAGATGTGCTTCCTCTGCCCCCTCCATCATCACATCAAACATACTGGACTCAGGGTCTTGGGTTATTGCAGATTTGGAAGCAGAAAGCTCAGTGTGAACCTTGGGAAGAAACATTACGGGAGAGGGGGGACTTGAAAACATCTATGAAGGTGGGCGAAAGGGGGCTGCCCTAAGTAGGGAAGGCACAGGAGCCCCCATGTTCCAGTCACAGTGGGGGAACCAGCCTGAGGTTTCGGGGAGGATTTCTGAGATGCTCAGAGGAGAGCTAATGAAAGCAGCATACTGTGGGGGGTCAGGCATGGGCCACACAGGCTGAGAAACCTGAGTTTGCACTCCAGACCACCAGTTGACTCTAAAGCTTGGGCCCTCACCTGACCACTCAGAATATCCGTGTCCTCATCTATAAAATGTGGGTCATAATAATGACCTGCAGAGTCATTGCAAGGATTAGAAATATCTGTGCAGTGCCTAGCTGAGTGGTGGTATTAGGAGGAAATCTGTGCTCCTCTAAACTGGTATTTCCAGGCGTGTGTGTGTGCGCCCAGAGAGTGTCTGTCCAGCCTGAGCCTGTAGAGTAACCAGTTTACTGACCAGTTCCTGGGACATAAACACCAAATGGTTTTGTGCTTTTAAGTATGGCTTTAACTAGGCTCTCTTTAATTTTCCTGTCTTGCTCTTTTTTTTTAAACATTGTACAAGTGTACTTTTTAAAAATATATATTTATTGATTTCAGAGAGGAAGGGAGAGGGAGAGAGAGATAGAAACATCAATGATGAGAGAGAATCATTGATGGGCTGCTCCCTACACTCCCCGCACTGGGGATCAAGCCTGCAACCTGGGCATGTGCCCTGACTGGGAATCAAACCAGTGACCTCTCAGCTCATGGGACAATGCTCAACCAACTGAGCCAAGGCAATATAATTATATTTTGCATTTCAAATTGTTGCTACTTTATAGGAATATAGTTGATTTTTAAAAAAATTAATCTTATATCTTGTGGCTTTGTAATCTTATTAGTTCTAGGAGGGTGTTTTTTTTTTGTAGATTATTTCAGATTTTGTTTATAAACAATTATGTTCTCTGTGAATAAAGATAGCTTTATTTCTTTTTTCAAATGTGCATGCCTTTTTTTTTTTTCTTATCTTACTGCATTGGCTAAGACTTTCTCTACCTACGTGTTGAAAAGGAGAAGCATCTAAGAGTCTTTCTTCTTTCTCTTGTGATGTGATCAGGGGCAAGTACCCTCCCAAGAGGGAAAATGGATATTTTGTTTCTAGGACCTGCCTCCATTACATCCCACTTAGTTTGAAAAGGGAGTAGAATGAATTTTGGTGGTTTAGGAGCTGAAAAAGAGACTGATTCAGCAGTTGTTATGGCTCTTTACCCTGGAATGGACTTCCAGTGATTACGGGTCCCTAATGGATAGGCCCTAAACATGTCTTTGAGACAGCTGGGCTCAGAGGAGAATGGTCAGTCCTCTTGTAACTAAGGGCGATTGGGTGGTTAGGCTACAACATGGTAAGTATAGTTAGAAACTCTTTGAATCAGGCGTGCCTTTGAAGAAATGGAGGTATAGAGGGGCAGTATTTACCTTCCAAATCCCTGCCAGCCTAGGCTAGGAAATCGGGTAAGTCAGCCTTTGTTTCAGGAATAGAGAGGACAGCAGTTCGTGGCCATCCTGGGTGGCAGAATATGATAATCCCAGTGGCAGTGGTTGAAAGAACCCAGGTCCCTTGTTCACTTGGTAGGGGATGTTCAAAGGATCTTTCTTGGGACTGCCAAAGAGCCTGAAGTTCTTGGATGATCCACAAAAGGGAAAGAGAGAACCCCTCAGAGGGTGAAATTGTACTTCCTACCACTCTCAGACATTGGGAGTTGAATTGGTTTTAATTTAATTGGGGAATAAATGAAAGGTACTTGAATTTCAAGTGTTAAGGGTTGTTTATATTGCTTACAATGAGTTGAAGTCAGATTATAGAAGCTTTTGAAAATCAGGCTGAAGTGGTTGAACTGAATTTTCTATAGGCAAAGCAGAATCATTAAATGTTTTTGAAAAATAAAACAATAGGTATGCAAAGTACCCCCATGAGCAACTGTATACTCAGGCGTACAGTGTGTGAAGAAGCATGGAGGCTAAGACAGGTAAGTCGAATGCTCAATGACAAGTCAATTAGTCTGTTTAGAGTAGAGTAGAAAGATATAAAGCACTAGGAAAGAAAAAGCCCTGAGCAACACTTCTTAAAGATAACTTTTCCACAATTGGTTAAAAACAATTCAAGGATCAGAACATATTTCCACTCTTTTTCTTATCAGACTAAAATTCATTTCAGTGGATATTTCTTAGCATTATTAGGGAATAGGCTTATTGTTTACACAGAGGTTGGCAGCCCATTTACCACAGAGAACCTATTTAAGAACTCATGTTCTTGGGCTCTTTTCCAAGACATTGTAAAATTATTTTATAGTGTCTGGTTTACACTAAAGCTGTTATTGCAGTTTAGAAACAAAATTTATCCTGTACACACTCTGTTTAAAACAGAATTTTCTCTTTAGTTAAGCATTAATAAAGAATGCAAAAATATGCATTTCATAGCATTAGTTCACTTTGATGTTAGATGAAAATGGAACCTGTAGTGTTTAATTATGAAGTTCATGGCAGAAAGAGGCACAAATCAAATATACATCTGAAAGTGTAATTTGCTTATGTCTTGAGTGACTTAATGAAGGTGGTGGTCAGTTCTCAAGAATATGGTGAGCATGAAACTAGCCACATCCAAGCCAGTAGGAATATTGGAGACACTTTCTCACTATAATTCTGCTCCCCTGCCCCCCATATGATTGGAAGGAAACACTTCCCTGGGGAAGGAAGGAAAGAACTAGACCAGTGATGGAGAACCTATGACACGTGTGTCAGAGGTGACACGCGAACTCATTTTTTTGGTTGATTTTTCTTTGTTAAATGGCATTTAAATGTATAAAATACATATCAAAAATAAAAATCTTTGTTTTACTATGGTTGCAAATATCAAAAAATTTCTATATGTGACACGACACCAGAGTTAAGTTAGGGTTTTTCAAAATGCTGACATGCCGAGCTCAAAAGGTTCGCCATCACTGAACTAGACTATATGTCCAATATTCTGATTTTTTTTGTGGGGATTGACCTGGTACTGGTTTCTGTCTTGCCTGCATCTGAGTACTGACAGGAAAAATCTCAGGTCAAGAGAAATGAGATAAAGATGGAGATACAAATTCACATGCAAGCACCCACATAACCCCTCCAGAGTGAACGGGAAAAATACTCCAAATCCAAACTTCTCACTGGGGAGAGAAAGAGTTGGATTATGTGTCCAATGTTCCAACTTTTATGGGAACTGAAGTACTGGCTTGTTTCGCCTGTCTTGGAACACTGAGGGGCCCAGTGTACTTTAGATGCCAGAGGGTCACCAGGAACAAAGGTAAAGATTTAGACCAGTACACAGTCACCTACCAGAGATCCTGCACCAGTTCAGTACAATACCATCGGCAAGGCTCCCAGGCTATGGCTTACCCCTGGACAAGGAAAGAGGAGACTGAAACTAACACCTAATATTCAGACTTTTTAGTGGCTGCCTGAGACTGACTTTATTTTTGAGTCTCAGAATGCATATGAAACCTCGAATGCTATAGATGTCCGGAGGCTACTAAGAACAGAGATCCTGCACCAGTTCAGTACAATACCATCGGCAAGGCTCCCAGGCTATGGCTTACCCCTGGACAAGGAAAGAGGAGACTGAAACTAACACTTAATATTCAGACTTTTTAGTGGCTGCCTGAGACTGACTTTATTTTTGAGTCTCAGAATGCATATGAAACCTCGAATGCTATAGATGTCCGAAGGCTACTAAGAACAACAACAACAAAACACCAAAAACAACAACAAACAAACAAAAAGCTGAAGTTTTGCCACTGCTTCAAAAAATTCATTGCATAGCAGACCAACACCAGAGGGAGCAAGAGATTATGAACTCCTGGGGAAAAAAAAAACTGGAAAATTCCTGTAACTGGGAATTTACAAACACAAGTCCACAGAAGATGCTACACAGAGCAGGCTTAAGAGGCCTCCAGTCTTTTTCTTGTCTAATAGTTCTGGCTAGAACGGCCAGTGCTATCTTATATAATAAAAGGCTAATATGCAAATAGACCAAACGGCAGAACAACCGAACAACTGGTCGCTATGACGTGCACTGACCACCAGGGAGCGTTCATGGAACATGGTGGGTGTCGGTCGTGGCAGGATGGTGGAGCAGGTGAGCGGGGGCACCAAACCAAGGCGGGGTGCCAGTCACTGTCATCGGGGTGAACCTTTGGTGGTTACTGAAAATTCTTTTCCCCTCGCCCCGCGGTCCCGCCTGGCGCCGGCGCTCGCACCTGCTGCCAGTGCCAGAGGCGCCACTCGCACCCACTGCTGGCACTGGCCCTGCTCGCACCCGCAGCTGGTGCTGAAGCTGCCACTCACACCCGCTGCTTGAACCCACTGTAGGCACTCGGCGCCGGTCCTGATTGCTTGGCGCCATCAGCGGGTGTGAGCGGGGCTGGTGCCTTCAGTGCTTGGGAGCAGCAGCAACGGGAGTGGGACTGCCGGCAGAGAGGGAACTGGGGGCCACAGCAGGAGGGGCCGGGCAGGGGCGCAGAGGATGGGCCGAGACCCACCCCTGTGCCCACCACAGCCTCATGGCCCACAGTTCCTTTCAAGGTGCACAAATTCGTGCACTGGGTCCCTAGTTTATAATAATAAAAGCGTAATATGCTAATTAGACCAGATGTCCTTCCAGACGTCCTTCTTTCTGGACAAAACCACAGCGGGTGGGGGCTGCCGCAGATGTGGCAGAGGCCCCCAGCCGTGGCGGCAGTGGGTGGGGGTGGTGGCAGAGGTCCCCAGCTGCAGTGG